AGAAATGACACTGTAGTCAACAAGAGTGGTAATCAAACGGAACAAATTAAGGATTTCTCTGGTGAATTGGGCGACTTTTTTAGAAATGACACAGAAGTCAACAAAAATGAGAACCGAAAGGAACAAACTAAAGATTTCTCTGGTGAATTGAACAATATTTCTAGAAATGACAAAGAGGTCAATAAAAATGGAAATCGAAAGAAACAAAGTAATGATTTCTCTGGTGAATTGAACGACTTTTTTAGAAATGACACAGAAATCACCAAATTTGTGAATCGACAGAAACAAACTACAAATTTCGCTGGCGACTTAAACGATTTTTTTAAAAATAAGAAAATTAATAACAATAGGAATTCAAATAAACAAACTAAAGATTTCTCTGGTGATTTGATCGACTTTCTTAGAAATACACGAAGAGTCAATAAGAATGGGAATCGAAGGAAACAAGCTAAAGGGTTCTCTGGTAATTTGAATAACTTTTTTAGAAATGATAAAAGAGTGAGTAGAAAGAGAAGTAAAACTGAATAAAGAAAGTAAGAAGTTAATGTTGAATAAAATAATTATTTCTACAAAATGCCAATCGATGTTGGATTCTGACGTTTTTAAACCTAAAAATTGTTATCTTGTTATATAATAAAAAATATTACAACTGTTCATCTGTTGTTTTATTTTGTTTAGTTCAATAATAAAATAGTTCTTATCATTGCTTATATTTTCAAATAAATACTTCCATAAAAGTTTATAATACTTTAAAATAATTTTACACTAATCGGCATTATTCAATACTAGCTGTAGCCTGCGACTCCGTCCTCACGGAAATAAAAAAAGCTTAATTAGTAGCCTATGTGTTCTTCCAGACTATGTCCTACGTATATACCAAATTTCAGCGAGATCCATGATACCGTTCTGGAGATACCTTCAAACAAACATCCATCCATCCACCTAAATATTTACATTTATAATATTAGTAAGATTGCTGCTTAATTTTTCTCAAAAATTCTACAACATTCTTTCTTAATGAGGTATAATAAGTTGTATCATTAATTGTGTATCAATTTGAGGTTAGCAAATGTTATTTGAAACTATAAAAGAGAAAGTTTAAAGACTGTATCAAGATTCTATCAAGATGTCTCTTCCATTGTACACGGTAAGATAATATTTAATAGTTATTAGTAATTTTTTTTATATCATAAATGTGTTTTTAAAGTCCACTGACTGTTTTTATTCGAACCATTGTGAAGTAGCCTGCAACTTGAACAATTTTGACTAAAATAATAAAGATTTTCCGTAGTCTTGTTCTTAATTTTTTATTTTTTTCAAGAACAGAGTATCAGTGGAAGAGATAGATAAAGGAAGCACACACTCAACCACATGGAAGAGCTGGAGATAGACGTATTTTTAATCAATTATTTATTCACCAGGTGTTCATTTGCTTCGCAATTCTCTTCATCAATGTCAACGGGCAATGCGCAGGATCGACAGAACAATGCGGCTGTAACAACCCTACTACTTCAACAACACCAAGAACCATAGAGATAGTCAGAGTCAGAGATCAAGAGAGAAGACGCGACCCGCAAACCATAGACAGACGTCAGCCAGTTGTACTACAACCGACTATACAAAAATACTTCGTCTTCCCTCAGAACAGTCGATCTGTCAGATATCCTAGTTCTTATCCACTAGATAATAGAGGTGGTTATTACATGATGCCTGTTGCTGTACGTCGCAAGGTTATCAAGAAGACTCCCGCCGAAACATAGAACTAGCGAAAAAAATGTGTGTTATTTATTTATTTATTAACTTATTTAATCTTATTTATTAAATCTGAAATGTATTATTAAAGTAAATAAAATGAGTAATTAAGTAAATTATTTGGAAATAAAATAAATAATTCTATTATATGGAGAAATTTTATTTTATTTATAGTTACTAAAATGGTAAACTACTGGTTAAATCCCTTTTTTGCTTTTGCATCGTAATCCTGATAATGTTAATTCCAACATTTTATATGCAAAGATTAGCAAAGGATTTATTTGTGTAGGAGTTTAGAATAAATTAATAAAAAAGTGTCTTGACAGGCAGACAGACAAACGAACAACAAAGTAACGCCTGGGTAGAGGCATAAACATTATTTGCAACTATACTTATCTAGTCCACCAAGGGAATGCCAAATAACAGCAAATTTCTACTAACACCAGAATAAAAATATATTTTCAACAGTGTCAGTAAAAACGGACTATAAAACTGGTCGTAGCTGTTCAAAGAAGTTCTACCTCTATGGTATGAACGCTTCAGAAACCTCTAGCAAAAACTTAACAAAGTTTACTAAAATTACTGTTTAACAACGGCATTGGCAGTCCTGCTGGGCACAGTACTTGCGCTAATGTAGGACGCGGCTGGGTGGTCGCTCAGGGCGCTAGACAAAAAGAGGCCACATAGTGTTCAAATTACAGAGTCTCGCATAACTCTTTTAACCCCCCATTGGCGTGATAAAGAAGAGAGCGTCGTAGAAATTTTCCCAGTATTCTAGTAGAGGCAGAATGGGCAAATAAAGGCTGATGATGATGATGATCGAAATAATTTAATCTTTCATAAAACGCATTCATTATAACGAGAGGAACAGACAGAAGATGGGTAACATTAAGTTAAAAGGCGAAAAATTTATACTACAGTACTTCTCTTAATAAATATTATCGAAATAAAATCATCATCATCAGCTCACTGTACGTCCCCACTGAGGGGCTCGGAGCCTACCCAAAGTCACGGGTGACGAGGCCATAGTCAACTACACTTGCCCAGTGCGAGTTGACTTCACACATATCTTTGAATTTCTTCTCAGATATGTGCAGGTTGCATCACGATGTTTTCTTTCACCGTAAGAACGTCGGATAAATGTACATATGTAAATGTGAAATCGAAAAACACATTGGTACATGGCGGGATTCGAACCCAGGACCTGCAGATTGCAAGTCAAGTCCTTGACCTCTGAGCCACCGACGCTCGATAAATAAAATACTCGTGTAAAATTTGTATCTACCAGTTGCTGATATCGGTAAGTTGCTATATTACTAAAGGTTCTTCACTTTGTACTAAATAGTCATACAAAGACAGACTGCGCGATAACCTTTATCATATTCTAGCGTGTGTTACAAAGAGATTCAAATATACTACTTATAGAACGGACATTACGAATGCTTTCTTTTCTTGAGCATAATCACACATAATCGCTAATAGACAATTCTAACAGTGGTAGAGCCCGCTGTAACATCTTCGCACGAATTGGCCCGTCTCGCTTGGTGAAATACCACACAGAAGACAAGCGTGAAGTGGAAGCAATTCCGCTTTTCGTCTCATGAGTGTGCGTGCGTCCCGGAGGCCTAATTTAGTCCTCCTTCCCTTCCCATCCTATTTCTTATAACGAAATG